AAAATAAACATTTTATTTTCTTAAATTCATTTACTATTTATGTTATAATAATAAAAAATATATTTAAAAATTAAAGATTTTTAAGCTATATATGTGTGTGAAACTATTATATTATTATATTAATAACACAATTAATTGTATTTGCATAATTACAACAATAAATACATAGTTGTTTCAAAAAATAACTATAGATTATATACTATATCATGCATATATATTTTTCGCAATAAATTTATTTAAGGTTTTTTTCAGCACATTGTCAATTTAATTTAACTTGTGATATTATTGCAGTAGTTTAATTGCGTTAGATAGAGTCCGGAAAAATTTCGGCGCGCAGTTTGAATAATTACAAATATATGATATATATGCATGTACATATATAGGATATAGATAATTCACTGGGAATTGTTTAGGCAAAAAAAGATCTAGCTTTGACCGTCATAGACTTGAATATTCTTATACTTAGTGTTTAATTCTTGTCGGTCCGAATAAAATCTTATTATTGATAATAACTAAATTTCGATTTTGATGCTGAATATACTGCTATCATATCGATTATACCCAAGACGTCTTTAAATTATTCTTGATACTGTCATGTCTTCCAATGTCATCATGTCATGGCAATCATGGTGTCAGTTTCGCGAGATCACTCGAGCGGGATGGACGTACGCATCATCTCACCCATTTTTTGAAAAGTGTTTCCGGCTTCGACTGTGCATTGTGTTACATTATTTGTCTTGATTACATCATTATTTCGTTTCATTCACCGGTTTGAGGTGACCGATGTATCATACTTTGATTACATGATTTATTTACGATTCTGGCCAGAATCGTCGCCATTTTTGCGGCGAGTGCCATCAATTTTGAAGAAAAAGAAGAAGAAAGTGTCATGATGTGTAGGCGTGTGAGCCACGAGATTAAGCACGAGCATAGTGAATCGAGCATGCTGAATGAATTATAATTATTTGCACAATGCAGTTGTTACTATAAAATGAGAAGTATTTTTAAAGAATTTTGATTCTTTGAAAATATTTACTATTTTAAAGTAACAACTGCACTGTGCAAATACTTAATTCGTTCAGCATGCAAGCGTGTGCGCGAAATTTTATATATATGTGTATGTATGTGTGTATGTATGTGCATGCATACATGATATACTAGAGACATCACTATGATAACGCGGATACTATAGAGACGTACTGGAGACGTATTGAAGACATACTCATATATCTCAGAATAACTACGGTATATCACTAGGAGCTCCCTGCGAAGTCTACGGGATGAGAAACCGCGGACATAGTAGATTCTGAAGAAATATTCTGTACATCACAGACGCGTCTCGAATATCTTGACGACGTATTCAACATATGTTTGCGATATTGTTCTAACGTTGTCAGAACGTAGATGGCTGTCTGGGACTAGAGTGATTTTAGTACTCAATGCAGCTAAATTATATTTAGCTTTTTCCGAATTCTAATTCTCTAATCTTTTCATGTTTGAGATTTTATAGAAAAAGATATTAATGTCTAGAGAAATAAAAGAAAGTTTGTCTTGAAAAGAAAAAAGTTAACACATTATAAGGTTTAAAAGTAATTCGATTAAGGCTCCTGAGTAGTCACCAGAGCCATATTGAATCATGACGTCAGAAGCGAGAAATGACACGTTAATTTTTATTACATGCCATTTATAAATTAAAGCAATTTAGATAAAACAAAATGATGAAATTGCTTTAAAACATTTGTAAGAACTGACACAAACTATGCTTATCCCCTCTTATAAAAGGTACTCTTATAAGTGCTTTTATTCAATGCGCATGCAATAGCTTCTTTTCACTTACACGTGCTTTTTATCACTTTTTACAATTACTTAATGACTGTCAAGGGAGATAAGCATAGTGTTCGTCCATCTTTACAAATGTTTTAAAGCAATCTCATCATTTAGATTGTATTATCCAAATTTTCTTTATTTATAAATTAAATTGAATGTATTAAAATTAACTTGTCATTTCTCGCTTCTGACGTCACGATTCAATATGGTTGCGGTGACTATTCAGGAGTCTTAATTAAGATATTACTTAAGATAGTTGAAATAAGAACCGACTATGAATACCGGCTCTACCCTTATGGAAAGAGATACTGAAAATTTCGAAAAAACACTGAAAATTAAGTGTTAACACTCAACTTTGAGTGTTAACACTTAATTTTCAGTGTTTTTTCGAAATTTTCAGTGTCTCTTTCCGTAAGGGTAATACCACTAAAGTATTATTAAAGCCGGCTGTCTTTAACAATATCTCGTCTGTGACTCTATTAGATTGTTTGGAAAGTTTGTTTCAAAATTTGCGGTCCGCACTGCCATGGTAATCGCTAAGCGAGGATGGTCCAAGCGATTTTGTGTTAGAGTCCCTAAAAATAAGAGGATGTGCAATGGAAGAGAGAAATAGAAACAGAAATAAATATTAAGATTTCAAAAACCTCCAGTTACATCAAAATACACAGTTTCTAATAGATTGAAATCTTAATACTCATATTGTGCTCCTATAAGTAGGTCCATAACATATTACTTCAAGATGCCGTAAAGATGTATGAAATTGACCAATCACGGTCGATAATTTGGTTTTCAAATTTGACCGTAATTAATCAATTTCTTACGGCTTGCGGCCTCTTGAAGCAAAGTTGTAGACCTAGACTACTATTTCCTATGTTGTTCTAAGATTTTGGTCATTGTTGTCCTCAGATTTTTTATTTGCTCGATGAAAAATGGCAGAACCAATTAGATAATGACTGAATATGTGAAAAAATTGAAAAGCAGATATAAGTACAACTACACATACATTATTTTTAAATTATTAGAACATTGACTGGACTCTTCTACTCTAATTCTATTTGACAGAAAGTTCTTCGGATCTGTGAGTTTGACAAGGCCAACGGAACCTCACAATCACAGGCCTTCTTAAATGCAACTGTCTTGGCAAAATTGGGTGAAAAGACGAAGAACCAGATGGATTTTCGGAAATAATCCTGCATTGCGTAGCTTCGAAAACCTTGACTGATATCTTCTCCTATGAAGATGTTTTTATATAAAGATCACACTCTACACAATTTAGAGGTAGTATCGAAGGTTCGAAGCTGGCAATTTCAACGTGGAAAATTATCCTCACTTCAGAAGGTGTAACATTTTCGGGTCTGGCCTGGCAGGTCCTTCAGAAATGTTTTATTACTGAAGGACTTCCTACACTAAAATCTGCGAATATTAAAGAACTCGTCGTTATTGTGCACAAATCTATCTCCACCGTTTGTGACTATCAGAAGTCTGTGCATTAATTTCTGAAATTTTCTTGTGCAGTATTATACCTGAGATAATTCCCAAGGACAAGTCGTTATAAATTACATCAAAATAGCTGCAAAGATTATGAAAAATCCACTTTTCAATTATTCATGGCTCGTTTGATGTTATTTGGCGTTATTGTGACTTTGTCATAAAGGATTTGAAATAAAATTTTCAAACAACCTAATATATGGAAGAATATTTCTCATGCAGTCTTATATTGAAATTTGTCATTTGCTCATATAGCTCTTCTGTTACCTTCCGATTTATAAGATTGCCCCCTTATTTTCGATCTTATATAATTTTGATTTTAATATATTTAATTTTTTAGTGCCATGCTGCAAGCTGTGCGCGTTCAATAGAGTGCTTGGAAACTATCGGCCACAATCCGTGCAATCGAGGTTCTTCGTCATCAAGTAATTATTCCTTTGTTTTCATTTTCTTTTTATTCTAGCTAACACATCGAGTTCTTTCTCTATCGTATTGTTCTTTTCATCAGATTATTTCTCTTCCGTTGAATTCGTTTTCTTCTCTTGAACCGATTTAAAAGATTTGTTCGGAGATCTGTCGAATAAATGATCAGAAATTGAAAAGCTATTTGTTGTTCTAATCATTTGAACATTGAAAAATGTATTAAATAAATAGCCGATTGATAGCGGACGACAATTTCGCGTCAACTACAAATTATAATTCTATTTGTACTAATTATCACTTTTTATAATAAATTTTAGTTAAAATAATTTTCCTAATTTTCTTTTATATTCTATTTATACTGCAAATTACATTTTTCAACTTAATTTTTACTATGACTAGGCCATGTTACATTTTAAAAATTTAGAATGATCGGTACTGCATTCTCCTAAGTTAATTTGCTTATTTTCATTCTTATATTTCCAACAATATTAATTATTTGTATGTCGTTTTATGGTTTCAATTTTAGTTCCAATCTTTTTTGGATTTATTCATTCTCTTAATTCACATATCCTTGCGATAAAGAAGAATAAGTCTTGTTTTCTTTTTTATTCTCAGCAACATTAATTATTTTTGTGTTATACAGGCAAGACCGAGATAAATTTTGATGAGGATATTGAAATATAAACAGATATGTGTGCTGACGAGATGATGATATTAGGTGTTAAACTTAACTCCTGCCGTTTTTCGTCTCCAAAATTGATTTGTTTCGAAAGGAAATACCTTAATCAAAGTATTATTAATAAAGTATTATTAATTAGTATAATAAAGTAGAAAATGGAGGAAATTATTTTGTTTAAGATATTCATTCATCTTCCCTTCAAAACAAATCAATTTTGGAGACGAAAAACGGCAGGAATTAAGTTTAACACCTAATAGATGACAGCAGAGTACAGGGATTCGAAAGAGAATTGGAAGCAGATAAGATCCTTGGCTCAGCGAATGACAATGGAAAACTAATGTATTTGATACAATGGTACGTAATATGTCTTACTATCGCGATTAATATCATCATCATGTCTCGAATTGGTAAGATGCCTCCACAGAATGAAGAAAATTCACACATGAACACAAGTTCAGATCCCGGTGATATTTTAAAGAATCCAAGTTAATATGAATAATTTAAAAATGATTGAATGATTGATGAATAAGGATAATTGTTTGCGCAGGAAAGGAACAGATGCAGTTGACATGGTGTCTGCTAGTGAAGCCAATATCAAGTGTCCTCAGATTGTTATCCGATTTTATGAGGACAGAATAACCTGGAAAAGGGCAAAAAATAAAACCGTAGTAGATGAGTTTTCTTGAAAAAGTCAGGTTCTGTATTTTTTTAGCTTTATTGTGATTTGTGTATGCGGTTAAAATCTCATTATAAATGCCTTAAAGCATATTTCATTGAAAATAAAATTTTACTAACTAGCTAATAAAAAAGAATATGTATCAATGCATTCATAGCATCACGTTAACCGTGCTCTGTAAAGTATTTTCGATGTGACTGTTTTATTTTATTTTAAACACAATATATGTTTCTTTTTAGTATTATTCATTTAACTCTTTTTATTAGGTGTACAAAAAAGTTATGAGCTTTAGATTTCATACAACCGAAATAACAATTTAAATTTTATATATCTTCCCGCCTTTTTGCGGCTTTAAAGCGTTAATATTTGGCCTTCTAAAATGCCATACGGATTGGCGTTTGATGCATAAAACCTCAAAAATCAGTAGTGTTCACGATGGCAATAACAAAAGAGCATATTCGATTTTCCATCCACTTCGCGTTTCATCTGAAGAAAAATGCTGCTGAAGCCACTGCAATGATTTGTGCTGCATATGGAGAGAACGCTGTAAGTCATGCTACATGTAAAAGATGGTATCAAAAGTTTCGCCAAGGAGATTTCAGTCTTAAAGATGAATCGCGTGCTGTACGCCCTGAAAAGATTGAAACGGACGAATTGCAAGCACTGCTGGATATAAACTCTGCGCAAACTGAAAAGGAGCTTGCAGAACAGCTTGGCGTTACGCAGTAAGCCATTTCCGTACGATTACATACGATGGGAAAGGTTCAGAAGGAAGGCAGATAGGTTCCACATGAATTGTCCGAAGAAAACAAAAATCGATGGCGTAACACTGCACTCACTTTGCTTTCAAAGTTCCGGAAAAAAGATTTTCTGCACAAAATCATTACAGGCGATGAAAAGTGGATTTTTTATAATAACTCTAAACGTAGAAAATCATGGGTTGATCCTGGTCAACCTTCGACATCGATGCCAAAACTCAATATCCACGCCAAGAAGGTTTTGCTCTGTATCTGGTGGGATTGGAAAGGTGTGTTGTACTACGAGTTGTTACAACCGGGTGAAACAATCACGGGGGTGGCACCCAGTTGGACATGGCTCAATTGGACACGAGCCACTCACAGCGCTTGAGACTACAAAGCTCCTAAGCACCGGTCGCTGTGATTGGTGGTGTCCAATCGAGACGTGATCAATCAGGATCACCCCAATCACGGCAGACCGTTACCAACAACAATTGACCAATTTGAGCGATGCATTAGAAGAAATGAGGCCATTTACTGGCCAAGGACGTCATAAAGTGATCTTGCTTCATGACAATGCTCGACCACATGTTGCGAAAGCGACTCAGGACCATATCTTTGCGTTAGGCTGGGAACTTCTTCCGTACGCGGCGTATAGCCCAGACATGGCGCCTTCCGATTACTATCTCCGGTCGCTGCAGCATCATTTGGCTGATACACATTTCGTGAGATTAGAAGAGATACGAAAATGCATTGATGACTTTATCGCTTCGAAGCCGGTGAGTTTCTATCGTCAAGGAATTCGCAAGCTACCCGAAATATGGCAAAAGGTCATTGATGCAAACGGAGAATATTTCGCTGATTAATATTTTTTTCGTTTCTCTTTGAATAAAGATTGAATTTTACAAAAAAAAGCTCAGAACTTTTTTGTACATCTAATATTGATGAATTCGACTTTATAATTTAGCAGTATGTCTAGTTTTTTTGCTACACGTTTTGTATTCTTTGCAACATTATCTGTGTTTCTTCTTTTTCTTATCTGCAATCTGAGACAATAAGCAGAAAAAAGTTTAATTTCCTAAAGTGCTATTTGATTATCCTGAATGTACTTGCTTATCGAAATGTTTTGAAGAAAATTATTTTTTAGTAAAGAAAATATATAACATCTGGAATAATTTAAAATTTAAATTGATAATTGGATAATTAAAATTGTTGCTCCGCATACATTAAGTGTAGAAAGGGGTATATAACATACAATTGACAACATATTTGTACATATACTCACAGAATCAGGATTTGTAAGGATAATATTGTTTTAAAATTAATGACTTATAAATTAATTGGAGGACCTATTTTTTAATCTTTTAACTAAACTGTACTGTACTGTTGACTAATGTTTTAACAACTGTAACTGTTCGTCATTAAGAGTTGGAGAACAGGCTTAGTTGTGTATTAAAAGAGTAAATATTTAATACAACGGTCCTTCTTTTTCTATATTTTTATAAATTTGTATTTTCTTGCGTAAAATATATGTACTCTGAAAGGAAAATCGTCGCTCAAGTCGCGGTTTTTTCCTTTCAAAATTTTTTTATGTTTGTGTAAAACGCATAAAAAAAGGTATAAATTTTGAATCAAGAACTGTTCTTTGTAATTTAAGTTATATAAGAGAATAATTTATGTTTTATTACTAATTAAAACCGAAAATATACAAGGATAAGTAAAAGATTAGATTGATGTTATCACATTTTCTAATTTACCTACATAAAAAAAACTTTGAAAGAAAAAAAGGAAATAAAAATTGAGCAAGATCAAGCAATAAGATCAACCTGAATGATGCACTTTTTATAATAGGGAAAGGTGGTGTACCTTTGACCAATTTTGACATTTTTTCTTGTGCAAGTTATATTTTGATGTCTAAAAATTCTAAAATTCTAAAATATTTTTTGAAGTGTTGACACTAATATATATTTTTTGTAGATTTAAATTATTATCTTTTGTACGTCTTTTTTAACATTAGAAAGAAAATTAAATTTTGGTCAAAAGTACAACACCCATTGACCCATATTGTACCAGCTCTGACCAAGGAGTGTTGTATCTTTAATCAATGTATGAAAGGTGTGTATAAAGATAAGATTTATTCAACAAAAGTTTAATTTTATTTATATTTTTAAGTCTTTTTACACCATATATAACTTTATATATAAAATATATAAAAATATTCTTTACCATACAAAGACGTAATTTTCATTTTTGCACGAAACGATTGAATCTGGCAAAAATAATGTCGTGAAGCGAGATATTGAACGTCGAAGTTGATTTCTGTCAGATTAAAATGCTTAAGCCTATTCTACAATGTGCTTTTTATTTCCTGTTTCTTGCTTTTTACTATCTTTTACATCTTGTCTTCTTGCTTCTTATCCGGTTTTTTGTTTTATGTCGCCCGAGATAAAAGTTAACGAACTTCGAAAGAAACAAGAAATACGTAGCAAGAAATATAATGGTCGATAAAACGATTGCAAAGGAGAAAAAAGCATAAAGTAAAAAGCAAGAAACAAAGAGAACATTGTAGAATAGGCTTTAGGATATGTTATTTGGTCTGTTCGACTTGCTTACACTTTTTTACACTTTTTACACTTAAAATGAGATAGATATATATTTGGTGCTGAAAAGAGAGAAAGCGAAGATGCTGAGTGTAAAAAGTGTAAGCAAGTCGAACAGAATTATTGGCTGCGTTCAGCAGAACACAACAGTTTTGCAACCGTTTTATGATTCTCTGCTGAGATTGGACCATTCCTCTTGATCTAAAAGTATAAACCCAATCAGCGCGAAGAAAACTTCCAACAGTTGCAAAATAAACGTTCTACTGTACGCAGCCATTGATTGCGTTCAGCGGACTCGACAATTAAGTGAGCGTTCGCTGCTATAAAAATATAGACCAAACAGATAAGAGCTCATTGAACGCTCAGTGAGCTCTTATATCTAATTGGTGCATAGTTTTAGATCTAATGGAATATGCCAATCAAATGCAAGAGTTCACTGAGCGCTCAGTAAGCGGTTACAGTACTGAGTGCATCCAATGGGTGCATGCAAAAGCACGACCGCTCACTGAGCGCTCATTGAGCTCTTGCATCTGATTAGCATATTCCATTAGATCTAAAAATATAGATCAAACAGATATATGAGCTCGCTAAGCGCTCAGTGAGCGGTGCTTCTGGATATACTTAATGCATCCAATGGGCGCATTCAGCAGACACAACAGTTGAGAGATCGCTTGCTGCGATTGACGTATTCTTCTAGATCTAAAATTCTGATTGGATGAGCTAAAAGAATACACCAATAACTTCTAGACAGTTAGGCCACAAGCGCGCGGGTAGGATTTGTTACTTTTCTTTTGTTCGGGGCAGCGTAGGCGCCCCAAACCAATAAGCACTAGTCTATACACTCTCTACATCATGGTGGAAGGATTACATTCTGAACAGTTATAAAATGATATAGAAATTCTAAAAATTCAGAATTTTTTTCTTTGTAAATTATAAAATATTGTAAGATTTGTATAATTTTCTATAATTTTCTATAATTGTATATATATGAACATATATAACAAATTTTATATATAATTATATTGTGATGTCAATATACATACAATACAATAATATATACATACAATAATATATTACAATTATATATAAAACATTTTTTTCTGGATAAATGAACAAATCAATATATAAATATAAATAAATAAATAAATATAATTTGTACCAACAATACTTTTACCAATGTATAGCTCGGCGGAATCCTCAGGGCACTTAAAATTATTCCATTTTTCCCAGGAAACATAATAGAAATCTAAGGAATAATTGAATAATTTCAATAGAAATCCATTTCGAATAATATCGTAATACGTACTCTAATAAACTCTTAAAATCATGTTTGACACTTGCTTAATATTGCTCCACCTTTCGAAAGGAAGAGAGAAAAGGACACATAGCGGTCCAATATGAGCTGGTCTCGAGATAGTGTTACTCATATTGGACAATCATATATCTCACCGCAATTTGCCAGGAATTGATTACTGTCGAAAGAAAGGCATCATTTTATCATCTTTACCTCCATGCGCTAGCCACAAATTACAACCACTTGAAGTGGCCTTTTTTGGATCTCTAAAAAAGTTCATGGCAGAGGAATGTGGTCAATTGATATCACAGCACCTCAATTGACCGATAACAATTCATCAGTAGGAAAGATTTTTTGCACAGCTTATCACAAGACTGCTTCTATTTTGACAAAGCAATTAATGCGTTTAGAGGTACAGAAATTTTCCCCCAGAATCCCTATGTTTTTCG